CTTTCCCTCCCTCGAATGGTCATGATGAGGAAAGAAAATTGCTCAGCCCAAGAGGGGAAACAATAAACTCCCAGCCTTGTTACTCTTGCTGTATAAGTTTCACAGCTGCTTTCCTGCCATCTCCGCAAAAAAAGAACACAAAACCAAACATGTCCTTAGTGTTGAGTTTGTGATCCAGAACAGAAAGCGAAAGGGGTAGGGGACGTATCCCCAAACAGCATTATTCGGCACTGGTCCAATGCTTGCTGGTTTACACCAGCTGGGGCCCAAGCCCTGGGGAGCATCATTTTGTTTTTACATTGCATGATCCATAAAAGCATCTTGATGATAGAGAGCTGGGCATGTATCGGGGCTAAAGACAATTTATCTCCAAATCCCACCGCGACAAAGATAGCCTGAGCGAGGCTGTGGAGAGTCAGACATCAGAGACAAAACTGAGCTGAGGAACGATTGTGCAGGTAAAAATGTATTGTAGAACTTAAGCATGTGTTAGAGACCTGTCTGATGGGCAAATTCAGACAGTATTTGCATGAACACATGAAATTATATTTGTGCCTATTCACAACCTGTCAAGAAATGCTAAAAGTCCAAATTTTAGACTTTAGGACAAGAGGAAATGATCTCCAGTTGTGCCAGAGGAGGCTTAGATTGGATATTAGGAAAAAATTCTTTGTGGAAAGACTTGTCAAGCACTGCAACAGGCTGCCCAGGAAAGTGGTGGAGTCACCACCCCTGGAGGTATTTAAAAGATGTGTAGATGAGGTGCTCAGGGACATGGTTTAGGTGCTAGGTTAACAGCTGGACTCAATGATCTTAAAAGTCTTTTCCTCCTCGTTGTCCTCCAATGTCTCTTTCCTGATTGCTTTCTAAATTTGAGCTCCTTCCCTATGAGCTCGGAGCATTCTTTTTTTTTAAATTTATTTTCCTGCTGCTCTTTTTATCTCCACTTGGCATACTTTAAGCAGCCTCTTATTTCTTGTAGTTCCACTGCAGCCTTGAAAAAACACATTTCTCACCCTCATCCCCACCCCTACCGTGTACCTTGGTGGCAAGTAGTCTTGTAAGGTAGATCTCAGAAACCATCTTGCTGCCCCGATCACCCTCTTTTTGGTCACCATGTTCATGGTTCTTCACCAAATGCCACATCTTGACACCGCTTTCAAGGTCAGGGGTGATCATGGGTGTGCGGGAACGGAGGCTGTCCGGGCTGCCTGTGTAACGGATCATGTTTTCTGCAAAGAGAGATGTGTGTGTCTCAGCCCAAGTAGCACTTATATAGGAACTGACAGCTTTCACCAAGGAAATATGCTTATGACGTGCCACCTAATAGAAGTTTTGCATCAGAGAGGCAAGAAGAAGACCTCTTCCATCTGAGTTTTTTAGCAGGTATCATTCAGTGTATGGAGTAGACGCTCCTACAGATTCTGACGTGGGGCTGAGATAATCACAGCTGGTGAGTCCACCATGAGGAGAGGTTAGTCTGGGTCTCCAAAATGGGAAGGTGGTAGCAGGACTGAAATGTCCCTACTCTCACAAGCTCCTAATTTCCATATTAGTATTAAATAAATTTCCATCAACCCATTCGTAACATGAGGGCAACACAGATGAGGGGAGACCTTATTGCTCTCTACAACTCCCTGAAAGGCAGCTGCAGGGTGTTGGCCTCTTCTCCCCAGTGAATAGCGACAGAACAAGAGGGAATGGGTTCATGTTGCACCAGGGGAAGTTTAGATTGGATATTAGGAAAAACTTCTTCACTGAAAGGGTGGTGAAGCACTGGAATGTGTTGCCGAGGGAGGTGGTGGAGTCACCATCCCTGGACGTGTTTAAAAAACGGCTAGATGTGGCACTTCAGGAGATGGTTCAGTGTTAGGGTGGTGTAGGGCTGTAGGTTGGACTTGATGATCTTAAAGGTCCTTTCCAACATTTATGATTCTATTCTACGATTCTATAAATCACCTGGTGGAATCATAACGTGTGACAGAACCCCCAGATCAGATGTATGGACCAGGCCTTGACATCAAAGCATTAGCTTATGACAGAGCAATTTGCTCAGCAAAGATGAGGGATTATAGGAAGAAGTTCTTGCCCATGAGGGTGGTGAGACCCTGGCACAGGTTGCCCAGAGAGGGGGTGGAAGCCCCATCCCTGGAAGTTTTTAAGGCCGGGCTGGATGGGGCTCTGGGCAGCCTGATCTAGTGGGGGATGTCCCTGCCCATGGCGGGGGGTTGGAACTGAATGATCTTTAAGGTCTCTCCCAACCCCGACAATTCTATAATTCTATGATTCTATGATTCTAAGTCAGCCAAGCCAGATGTGATGTCAATGTTGACACTATTAAATTAAACGAAGCTCAAACACTGGCTCTCAGTTGCCTGTGTTCTTTACCTCTTACTATGTTCCCTGGCAAATCTTTGGCCTGGGACAACAAGCACTGTCACTGTCAGACGTTGCCCAGGACTGGTTCAAGTGACAGTACCAGCTACTCCTAGTAACCAGTATGGTTAAATGCAACTTGTTTTACCTGTATAGATGTCAGCATCCCATGACATGATGCTTGGCATTATGGCCAGAGACCAGGCAATAACCTTTTTGCATAGCAATACTGACATGGCTCATGTGGCCTCTTACCTGCCTCCTCAACCCCAGGAGGAGTTGCCTCACCTCCCTTCCTCGGCATCAAAGCAATCCAATCACTCCTGCCCAGCCATCTTCGCTCCCGGCTCCAAAATCTTGCTTTGACAGAAAGCAAATCAAAACCCTAGGTGGGCCTACCCAAATTTCTTCTCCAAGGACACCTTTAGCTGCCACGTTTTACCTCCCTTTGCCTCTGAGTGATGGCACAAGGCATTCCACTCTCCTTGACCTTCCAGCAATGCTGCAAATTGAGACTTTTCCAACCATAATTAACAGAAGAGTGTTGCACCTTTCTGCAGCAAGATCTGAATCAGCCTCATTAATGCATTACCAATCTCTACATATTAATTATCAGATGGAATATCCTTTTTCTCTCTGGATACTGTTTTCTTAATTGCAATTAACAATCACTTCTGACCCACCACATTTTTCTCCTCCCCCTGCGTTCTTCCCCATTCCCTCCTCCTGAAAAATCAAATGGCAAAAGAATTAGAGAAATCCAATAGAAATTAACCCCCCTCAAGTCTTCCTTTTCAAAGGTCACTGTGTCTTTTAGTAATTGCAACAACATGGCAAAGAGGATGAATATTAATAGGGTCTGGTGGATTGCTTATGTCCTTGGAGAAAGAACAAGGGGGGCCCTCTGGACATTGAGTAACTGTAGTTTCCCTCAAGCTAAAAGGGGTAAGAAGGATTGGAGATGCTTTCATAAATAATAATAAACTGATATGACAGGTCTGTCCAAGTCAGAGGGTGATTTTGCAGCACTCTGGTTGAGCATTAAAGATCTTCTGCTTTGCCGTCCACCTTCACCATAGTGAGATATGTCCTGGGCTGCAATTCTAGTGTGAGGGAGAAAGCTGTGATGGTGCGAGAAAGACTCAGGAGGTCGCTCTTTGACTCTCCAGAAGACTTTCCACCTGGTCTCTATGTCACAGCTGCCTTGTTCTGAATTTTCTCATGGGTAAAGAGGGAACAATCACCACTGCCTTGAGATATACTGATACAAGACCTCAGTAACCCACTTATTATTATTACTATTATTATTATTATTAT